ACTTTGAACCGAACGGCGACGACGCAACACCGGAAGAGCAGCATAAGGAGTTCCTCTCCAAACTCGTGACACGGTTGTTGTATGCTTGCAACTACCAACGGTCCGAGTTAGAGAGACAGAACCAGGAACTGCAGCAACAGTACCAGGATCCAACGGTCCGAGTTAGAGAGACAGAACCAGGAACTGCAGCAACAGTACCAGGATCTGAAGACACAGCACCAGGAGTTGGCGAACCTCCGCCGGATGGTGCAGAGCCACGAGGATGCAACGCGTGCACTCAATTCCCGTGTACTGGACCTGGAACAGGTTGTACCAGGACCAGATGCTGGAGCTTCCAGCAGTGCACCCTCTAGCCGCCAACTGGAGGAACGCGTTGACCACGTAGTGGCAATGCTCGGCGACATCAGCACCTTCGTGGCGCCAACCACCATCAGCACCCAGCTGGACACGTTCAAGACCGAGGTCCAGCAACTGCAGTCGACGAACTCGGATGGCAATCCAAAGCTGTACAAGATGCCAACTTTCCAACTGGAGAAGTTTGACGACTACACACATTAGGATCCGGTCCTCTGGTGGGAAGCATTCACGACGCAACTTCGGATTCTGCCTGTCGCCAAGCACGCCTACATCGGCGCCTTGTTCATTAACTCAAAGGGCGGATGCCAGACCTGGTTGCCCCCCCTGGCAGCCACCCACGGCGTCGACGTCGCGGATCTAAAAGACAAGATTAAATGGGAAGAGTTAACACGACTGTGTAAGAAGCGGTTCATCGTCGACGACGCACCAGCACTCGCCATCAACCGTCTCTTCACCATGTCTCTGGGCAACACAGCAACACGTGACTGGCTCACGGAATGGCAGAAGATCGTGGCCGTGCCCGATCTGGACTTACCATTCACGCATCTACGTCGTGAGTTCTACAACAGGTCATGCGCTGCGCTGAGCCAGGCACTTGGTGATCGCGAGCAGTATACCACTTTCGCCGAGATCATTGACAAGGCGAGAGAGATCATCAAGACCAACAGGGCAGCTGCACATGAGAAGTCAACGTGGCAGCCGACCTATGTGGAGAAGGTAAAGACTGGTCCGCGACCGCAGCACTTCGCTGCAGTCCAATCGGACAGTGGAGAAGACCCAGCACCCACTCCAGCATCACGTGACGGAGATTGGGTGGCTGCTGTCCAGCTGCGAAGCAAAAACAAGTCCCGAAACAATGGGAAGGCGAAACCAGCATCGCAGGCCGGAAATGGACAGCCAGCACCATGGGTCAAGTTTAGCTTGACCGAGGTGGAGTACAAGTACCGCGGCCGCTACGGCTGCTGCTACTGGTGCAACAGCACCAAGCACAAGACCTCCCTTTGCCAATATCAGGCCAAGAAGGATGTGCGACCCCGTCTCAACTCGGGAAACTGAGTTTCGCGGGAGGTGAGGCGACTCCACCTTCCACTCCGCCAGATTCGGCTGCCTTGCTAGCGGCCTCCTGCACATCTGGGGAGGATGTGAATGTCGTAAGTTCTCGATACACTTACGAGGACTATGCTGTCCACTTGGTTCCAACGCTGGACCAACCGCTCCACGTGCAACAATCAACCGCATGCACGGTTTCATCACCATCGGCAACCGATTCGGCAGCTTCGCCGCCATCTATCGTCGGGGATTCAACGTCATGGTCAAGACTTGAAGAGCTCGACCCATTGACGTTCGCGGACTTCCAATGGATGCCCGTTCCCTCGACCGGAGGATTGCCGAAACCACATTGCAACGTGCTAATGGCACAATTGCGGGATTACTTGCACACTGCAGTACCGACTCCGTTGATGGACGCCGGAGTAGAGGTTGTCGACCTTCATGCCTACATTGCGAAGATCGACCGCGAGTTCAAGACGCAACGRTAYGACGACATCGACGCACCATTGCTATATGTACGCATTCAGATCGGACAGGCGACCTGCAACGCTTTGATCGATTGCGGAGCATCTCGCAACTACATCAGCCAGGACTTCATGGTGCGCGTCGGCCTTGGCCCACGCGTTCGAAGGAAGCCGCAGCCCACGCAAGTCACGTTGGCGGACGGTCACACGCACAAGTCAATCGACCGGTGCATTGACTTTGCCCCTCATGCAAGTGAGGCGGTATCCTTTGACATTCTGGACACCAAATTTGACATGATCTTGGGCATGTCATGGCTGCGAAGCGAGGATCACCCGGTGAACTTCTATAACCGCACCGTTCACATTCGTGATCGGAACGGAATACTAGTCCCAAACACGGTGCCTCTTCCTCATCCTTCGATCAGCTGCCACGTGGTATCCGCCGCAAGCATGCGAGCTTCCATCATCAAAGACGACATCGAGGAGATGGGGGTGTGTTTTCTCCACGCCCTCCCGCCCCATGACGCTTCATCGACGGACTCATCTTCGGATCCACGCATCACCGAACTTCTCGACGCCTACAGCGACGTGTTCGAAGGCCCGCACGGAGTAGTACCGGATCGGCCCATCCGCCACGAGATCATCCTCGAGGACGGGTCCGTACCTCCGCGCGGTTGCATCTACCGAATGAGCGAGGAAGAGTTAAGTATGCTTCGGGCACAACTCGACGACCTTCTGGAGAAAGGTTGGATTCGGCCTAGCTCATCGCCATACGGTGCTCCTATTCTCTTCGTCTGAAAGAAGAACAAGGATTTGCGGTTGTGCATCGATTATCGCAAGCTCAACGTGCAGACGATCAGAAACGCCGACCCTCTCCCACGCATCGACGATCTTCTCGAGCGACTGGGCGGCGCCAAGTTCTTCTCCAAGCTTGATCTCAAGTCGGGATATCACCAACTCGAGATTCGCAAGGAGGACTGTTACAAGACCGCGTTTAAGACGCGATATGGGCATTTCGAATGGCTGGTTATGCCATTTGGCCTTACGAATGCCCCGACCACTTTCCAAGCGGCTATGACAACGGAGTTCCGACACATGCTGGATCGATACATACTTATCTACCTCGACGACATCCTAGTGTACAGCCGGAGTTTGGAGGAGTATGTGGAACACCTGCGCACCGTCTTGGAGCGGCTATGACAGGCCAAGTACAAAGCCAACCGCGACAAGTGCGAATTCGCGCGGCAGGAGTTGGAGTACTTGGGACATTATGTGACGCCGCAAGGCATCCGTCCGCTTGTGGACAAGATCGAGGCCCTACAAGTATGGCCCGAGCCCACCAACACCACGGACGTTCGTTCATTCATGGGATTGGCGGGCTACTATCAGCGATTCATCACCGGATACTCGAGGATTGTTGCACCTATGACGAGATTACAGTCGCCAAAGGTGCCATTCGTATTGGATGACGACGCACGCCGGTCATTCCAAGCACTTAAGACAGCTATGCTCATGGCACCCATCCTTAGCATCTATGACCCCACCCTGCCGACGAGAGTGACTACGGACGCTTCCGGCTATGGCATTGGGGCAGTCTTGGAACAGCACGACGGCGACGACTGGCACCTTGTGGAGTATTTCAGCCACAAAGTGCCTCCCATCAACTCACTTGATGATCCAAGGAAGAAGGAGCTGCTCGCATTCGTGATGGCTCTCAAGCGTTGGCGGCACTTCCTCCTTGGGCGTCGTAGGTTCACATGGGTTACGGACAATAATCCATTGACCTACTACAAGACGCAGGATACGGTGAGCAGCACGATCGGACGATGGATGTACTTCATTGACCAGTTTGACTTCACACCGAAACATCTTCCCGGCCTCTCAAATCGCGCAGCAGATGCACTCTCGCGAAGACTTGATCTTTGCGCTATGACACATCATGCCTTCGCATTCGACGAGGAGCTTCAGCGACACTTCATTCGGGCATATGAGTCTGATCCGAACTCTTCCACGCTCTATGCACAGCTATCTTCGGATCACCCGCCGGCCAGCAACTATCGCATCGCCGACGGGTACTTGCTCCTCCACTCGAGAGGCAAGGACTTATTGTGTGTCCCACGAGACTGTCGTCTTCGGACTCGCCTTCTCGGGGAGTACCATGACTCGCGACTCGCCGACCATTTCGAAGTCAACCGCACGATTGCACGGCTTCGACAACGATTCCGATGGCCTGACCTCATTACCGATGTCACTCGGTATTGCGACTCTTGCGAAGTTTGCCGACGCAGCAAACCCCGCAACCACAATCCCTATGGCGAGTTACGCCCGATGCCCATCCCACGGGAACCCGGTCTCTCCATTGCCATGGACGTCACCGGTCCGTTCCCTCGCGACTGGCTCGGRCACGACGGCATCCTCACGGTTGTGGACCGATTAAGTACGCGCGTTTTCTTCCTTGCAAGTACTACTCCACGRCTCCCGAGCTGGCACGCCTCCTGCACACCGGCTGGATTTGCGGTCATGGTGTACCAGAAGACATAGTCAGCGACCGCGACACTCGCTTCATGTCGGCATTTTGGACTGCACTCATGCAGGAGTCCGGCACGAAGATGAAGCCAAGTTCGGCTCGGCATCCACAGACAGAAGGGCAGACGGAGCGGACACATCAAACCGCTCAAATGATGCTTCGTACGCTCATCCGTCCGGACCAGAAAGATTGGGTTGACCGCCTCCCCGACATCGAGTTCGCCTACAACACTTCGGTGCACCCGGCGATCGGCATGACTCCATTCGAGTTGCACCACGGTGGACGGAAACGCCGTATCTTCGCCGACCTTCTCCTCCCTCGACCAGCCGACATTGACGCCGCTTGCTCTCCCGCTTCCGTCCGGAAGTACAGGGAATTGTTGACTCAAGCCCGCGCGAACATGCAAAAGGCTCAAGTCCGCATGCAGCAGCAAGCCAACAGGCGTCGCGTACCACGTCCCATCCGCGCCGGTGATCTGGTTTGGGTCTCCGCGGAAGAGTTTGCACTGGAACAGGATGTTTCATACAAACTGCTTCCCAAGTGGTTTGGACCATGGTCTGTGACATCAGCCGCGGGCGATGAGCCTGATGGCCCTTCATTTGTGATTCCCGAGCATCTGACGGTCCATCCAGTCTTTCACGCATCAAAGCTGGCAACATATACACCAGCTAAGAGCGACGACTTCCCGGGGCGACGATCGCAGGACCCTCCATCTATGGATGGTCATCAGGAGGTTGACCGCGTCATCTCGGATCGCAAGTACGGCAGCAAGCTGCGACAATACAAAGTTACATTCAGAGCATGCGATCCCGACGACACTCCGTGGATTTCAGGAGCAGATTTGAAAGCATCCACACCGCTGATCTACGCTCACTATGAGCATCAAAGGTTAGCCAAGGGACCTCCACGACCCGCCCCTCCCACCCGGACTGTGGTCCCTCCCTCAGACAGACAGCTTCGCCCTCGCAGGTAAGCTCGGTCTTTCAAGGAGGGGGGGGGGKGGCATACTGCGTAGCCACACGGGCCCTGCAGGGCCCGTCCCGCACTTTCAGCCTAAAAGCCTAAAACTTAGGGCTTACAGGCCCCGGCCATTCAGCCTGAAAGCTGAAATACGAGGGCCTGCAGGCCCTATTCCGTTTCAGCCTATTTCTGGGCCTTTCAGGCCCAGAGGCTTTTTAGCCTGAAACGGAGGGCCATTTTCAGGCCCTCATTGTGTTCGACCTACCTAAGACTCTGGCACGRAAACAGGGTTTCGGAACAGGCCAGAAATASCCTGTTCCCCACGCCAGCWCRAGCAGGAGCTGCAGCTSCAGCCCCTGCCTCCCTGGGGCATTGGCAAGAGCAGCCTCCTGGACTGCTCGCCTGCAGTCAGGAGGCAGACCCGAGTAGTACATAGGATAGTCCCATGCACTTCACGGGTAGGTAGTTCGACAGTATGCACGAGTAGTCTTCAGGATTCAGCGCAGCACTCAGGAGGAGCGCTACAGGGAGTAGCTTAGCGCTAGCCGTAGTCTTCAGCGCTGGGCGCTAGTAGCCATAGCAGTAGTCTTCAGCGCTGGGCGCTAGTAGCCATAGCAGTAGTCTTCAGCGCTGGGCGCTAGTAGGTGGTAGATAGTAGAGTTGGGAGAGATGGCTGGCGGAGGCCAGCGAGACTTACCTGTGGCGCCATAGCTCCAGCTCCATCTTCGAGGTACCTGCATCATGGCGCCAACTTCACAGGTTAGTACTGGACTGACAGAGAGAGAGAAAGAGAGAGAGAGAGTTCTTCTTCCTCTTCTTCTAAGTCCACCATCTCTTCTTCCCCTCTCACCACCTGACTTCTCAGTATCAGCGGACTACTACAGAGAGARAGTTGTGACTTGGGACTTGACGACATTGGATCCAGACTTGACACTTGGGATTCAGACATTTCGACGAGGGACTATTTGGGCTGTGCCGAAGACTTGGTGTTGACGACATTCCCATCTTCCCCTCCTCTTCGTCTAACCCCCTTCTTCTTCGTCTGTGTATGGTAGGGGCTGGCGCAGTCTTCCTGTGTGAAGCGCCAGACCCCATTCACACCGTGTAACGATGATGATGATGTATGTTCAGGGCTGCATTGCAATATTGATTGTTCGGATCATTGGTATCTAAGTCTTCCGCTGTGCTATCTTATACTTTGTATTGAGAGGTCGGTTCTTGTTCTGGTCTGCACCGTTTCAGTATGCAACAGCTTCCCTGCCCACTCGCTTCGCCATTCGCCGCTCGACTCCCCCAAGTGCTCTCCCGCCTGTGTTCCTTGCTACCTCTCGCATGCCTGCCTTGCTTCCCCGCACCCACCTGATCGTCTCGCTGCTGTGTTCCGACCTGCCTCACTGCTTGCTTTGCGGCAGTGATCTTACGTTCTGTGCTTCACACCGTAACGCGACCTCTTGGAATTGCCTGTTGGAATCTGATACGAATTTGGATTTTAACGTGCTGGTGTTTTTTACCTGTAGGAATACTACTTGGGGGTTGGTGGTGGGCTTATCATGAGCTAGGTTGGGGCGGTTGGTGGTTTTGGGATCGGCCACCGTACTCCTTCCTGCAAGCCTGCAACTCACCCATGCATTTTGCTGCGGCTCGCCATCTACCTTGCTGCTTTTGCCTGCTGGTTCACTTGGAAAGGCAGTTGAAACAGATTTATAAGGCAAATCATTGTCAGGGGATTCCACAGACTGTTGAGGGTTCAGCTTCCTGATGACTCAGGTGTGACAGTCGGACAGAACAGTCTCTCCGTTACCCCTTCTTCCTTTCATTTCTATTTTTTCTATTTTCCTTTCTGACGGCTCCATTGGACGTGAAAACCTACCTTGTCAGTCGTTGTCGTTGCAGTCAGATCGCATTGTGTTAAGGCCCAGTGACCCCTTTTGCAGAGAGGAGTGATGGTCCTAACATCCACCGCCACCTGCAAGCCTCTCTTTGCCGAGGCGGATTCCCCCTGTGCACCTAGCTTTGCCGAAGTGCCATCGCGGGTTTTTTTTTTTGTTTTGTTTTGTTTTTTTTGTTGCCCCTTTTTGCTGGTGCCGCTAGCCAATGTGCCCCGACAGCACTGGTCACCCGGAGAACACGGAATGTTACACTTTCGATTCTCAACGTTGCCTGGGAAAAGGTAGCGGTGGTTTGACAAGCATGGCATTGAAAAAGAAGCAAAAAAGCAAGGCAGAAAATCCCTGTTCATGGCCATGGAAAATTGATGCCGAATTGGCGTACTACGGTAGCGGGCATATGTTCCAGTGAAGTATAAACCTTGTAAACTGAAATTGGATTAGCATTAGGAACATGTCAATCAGTGGCATGTAAATTTGTTGCTACTCAACATCAGTTTGTGACAAGCCTATTCAGTACAGTTAAGAGCAATAGTTTGGGTTACAACTTACAACCTAACAAATGATAAACCACTTAGTTTGTGCAGGTTAGTGTTTTGTTTTTGGTATAACAGTAGAGGGTAGCCAAGTAACGGAGTCCCGGGGATGTCGCCAGTCGAAGTTTTTTTTTCCTTCTTTTTTCTCTTGCTAGTTGTCAATGAATGTTTCTTGACCCTTGCCAAGGATTTAGAATCTTACTGTTTCTTACACCAAAAAAACAAATCCGATAATACAAAAATTCCCAATGACAACCACATTACAGGATGACAAAGAGAAGCAGAAGAAGAAGAAGAAGAAGAAGAAGAAGAAGAAGATCACCAGATGTAAACATACTAACAAAGACATAGCTCTGAGGTGTCCTGCCGATCACTACTCGATGTACACTGAAATAACGCTGTGTGTGCTTTGATGGTTTTCCCCAATGCTAATGCAGGTTTTTTGCCCTGAGCTAGGCCTCGCAATTGAGCCACTTAAAGACAATCTCACGCTCGAACAATTGTGGGATCTCCTCTAATGCCAGAAAAGAAAAGATGATGTCTGAAAGGGGGGAGGAGAAGGGAGGAGAAGGGAGGAGAAGGGAGGAGAAGGGAGGAGAAGGGAGGAGGAGGAAGGAGGAGGGAGGAGGAGGAGGAGGATAATTGAACAGAAGCAGGAGGGAGGAGGAGGAGGAGGAGTGGGGAGTACATGGAGGCAAAGACGCAGAGCGTATTGTTGAATTTGTAATATTGTATGCTTTTTCATTTGATATCATAAAGAGTTTTCACCACTTGAGAACATGTGTTTATGAAAATAAAAGAAAAGAAAAGGTATTGTTGCTCTCTACCCAGAGCTGTAATGCAAAAGATTGCTGCAAACTGCCACAGCATGTCCCAGCAACATACTTGACTACAGAGACCTGTGAGTCTCCCGTATGAAGTTCGTCTGCCATCAACTGAAACCTCACACTTGTTGATTTCTTCCCTGAAGTCCACTTTAAATTCCCCCTTCCTCTTTCATCTTTGCATTTCCCCCTTTTGTTTTCTCAAAGCTTTTACTTTTACGGGCCGCACTCTTGTGGAATGACATCACTGAACTCACCAGCCCAAGGTAATTCAGACCTTATTTGTTCATCTGATTACACCCGGAGAGGGCCCACACATGTATGCGGTTTGGATGCTCGCCTGTTTTGGCCGTCCTTACCGACATACCCCCAACGACCAACAGCGGCCAGTAGCTTCAAATTGGCTTCAAATTGGCGTCAAATTGGCGTCAAATTGGCTTCAAATTGGCTTCAAATTTTCACTAACAGATATCATTTCTGGACAGAAATTCAAGGAATTCCATTGGTTACGTTTGCTTCAAATTTGTGTTGTTTCCATTCTTTTTCACAAAACCAAAAGGTTGGTTTGCTGGCAGAACCTCACATAAAAGGGACTCACCTGACAGGCCACTCCTGCCAAGTCCATTCTACGGTAATCCCGTGTCTGGCATATCTCCTCCTCCTTCCCACCTTCATCCTGCGACAAGCACCGACAACTCAGTACGCAGACGAAACAATTCGGTTTTTTTTTTCAAGTATAAATTATCCCCTTCCTCGTCCTTTCGTTTTTGTTATTTTTTGTTGTGTTTGTAAATGCCCAGGTTGTTGTAGAGGCAGGGTATCAGGCACGGGGAGTACTGTCCGGGGCTTAAGTCAGTCGAAGTTCAGAATGACTCACTTGGCCCTCTGGACCTAACGGAGTCCTCTACAGGCTTAGGGCCCGAAGTCCTATCGCAAGTGTCCCTTCCACATCTACAGCTTGCCACCAGGGATCGGATTCTGTCCCTACAGATCCAACCTCAACTGGATGTATTGCGGGCCCACTCTAAGAAGCTTTGTCCCCCAACCCTTGACTTAGCAGATCCGCAGCCGATCCCGCCTCGGACAGGCGTAGAGGGCCTACCTCCCTCCTATTAATGTACAGTTGGCCCTCTACGCCTGTCCGAGGGGGGATCGGCTACCCACTACTCAGGAGACAGGCTCAGTACATTCCTACCCGAGTTACACTTTATCGGCATCCTCTCTACTAGTGCCTCCATCTCATAGCCTTACCCTTGCTTGGTCCCTCGTGGGCCTGAGGACCCTGCTGACGGGGCTATGAGAGTACCCCAATGTCTATACACGACCTATCTACGACCAACCAGTCAGGTGGTCCTAATCCATGAGACAAGCATTGACTCGCACCTGCTGGTCATCAGGCAGACTCTGACTACTTGGACTCTCCAGAATGCACCAGCTAACACGATGCCTGCCACACATGGCTTGCTTCGATGGGGAGGCGGCACAAAATTTTCGGCTCAGCAGCTCTGCGGAGTCAGAGCCTGTGTATCGTGTTGCTTTTATGTGGCTCTGCATTTTCGTGTGGCTTGAGCACTTCGTGTGATATTGTCACTTCAGTTGCCAGTCCGACTGAGGCAGTATGGAATTTCAAGTGCCGTCACGATTTTCCCGTTCAACAAAAGTATCTGAGAAATTCTGTGGATGTTGGGTACTTCCTGCTGTAGCACAGAAGAACTATTAAAGAAATGAAATGAAAAAGAAATGACTACACTGGAGTGCGGGGTTGAGTTTTGAATGCCCAGGAATAAAAGGGCACTGCAGGTCCGGGGCGAGGGCGGTTAGACTGCAAAAAAAAGAAAAGCTTTGTGCACTTCTACCGGGTCCGAACTTTGAAAGTGGCAAAATCAGGTGGGCACTCGTTGTTGCTTTGCTTCTTTTTTTTTTTTTTTTTTTTTTTTNTTTTTTTTTTTTTTTTTTTTTTTTCCACGCCCGTGTCAGGCGGCCACTCACTCATTGTTGCTTATCTTTTTCTTTTCTTTTTTCCTTTTTGTTTTTCCACGCCCATGGCTGGGCGAGATGTCTGGTCCACGACCGAGATGTCTAGGCCATGCCCGTGGCTAGGCAACAGCCGAGATGTCTAGGCCACACCCGTGGCTGGGCCACGGCAAAAAGGGGTCTCCACGAGTCTTTTTCCAACCCCGCCCCTCCGCGAGTCGTTTTCCAACCCTTCTTCATGATCCTAAAAATAAAAAATAATAAAATAATAAAAAGGAAGGACACTACCGGTACCTGCTCCCACCCCAGCACTCGGGAAAACGACCTGTAGCGGTACGGATACCTCCCATTTACGCCAATTGTTGAACTGGCAGGCCGTCGAAAGCATGAGTTCTTGTTTTTTTTGCAGTTTTTAACTGATCTTCACCTGGACCTGCAGTGTGCAGTTATTTCCATGAATTTTGAACTCTGCACCAGTCACAGGTGCAGTTGGGTAGAAGTGGTGTATGGTAGGAACAAAAAATGGAAACATATCCTCCAGCAGGCAGACCTGGATATTAGATCGATTGATGTAAATGGTTTAGCATCCCACAACCCGGAAAAAAATAATGCATTATGGGATTTAATGCGGGGGGTCGGGGGAAGGACATGGCCAGATGTAGTGTGCATTCAGGAAACCCACCTATTGGACACCCGAGAGCACCAAAGGGCTCATAAGCAAGTTTGGCCCTTTCAAAGCTACCAAGCCTTCACCCCCAGCCCCGGAAGCGCGGGGGTGGCAATATGGATCCCGCCCGAATCACCTCTACAAATACTCAGCTGGGAAGAGGATAAGGAGGACGGACGATGGGTAAAGGTGTTAGGCATGTTGGAACTAGAAGTGGTGTGCATTATATCTTTATATGCCCCTAACAAAACGCGTGAGAGAAAGATTTTTTTCGAAAAAATTGAATCGGTCCCCACTCCAGATATCCCGATAATCCTAGCAGGAGATTTCAATGCCGCACCGGATAGATGGCTAGACCGATGGAAAGTCCACCCCTCTACCGCACACAATGCAGAGGAGGATGAGCGGATGCTGAAACACTTGTGCACCCCCCTCTCGTTGTTCGACACCTTCAGGCGCAATTTCCTGTCTGAAAGAGCTTTCACATGCACTCAGAACAATGATCCCACCAGACTATCTAAATCACGGATCGATCTAATCTTGGCATTAGAAGAATTGGGAGGAGGGATCACCGTAGCAGCAATACTGCCAACTAGCCCATACCCAGGTTTGGACCACAAGATGTGTATGGCAGTCTGGACCTTTCGCAAACGGTCTGGCCAGGGGGCTAGCTACAATAAACTTAACACCTCCCTACTGCACTCCGATTCCTTCCAAAAATACCTGCAGCAGGCTTGGGACTTCTGGAAAGGCTACCGCCTTCATCAAGACACTCAGGTCACATGGTTCAACAACGGACTTTTTTTTATGGCCAAAAAATGCAACGATTACTCCAAATATCTAGCTACACAGTGACACGAGCATGCAACGATTACTCCAAATATCTAGCTACACAGTGACACGAGCAAGAAATCATGAGCATAAGCAAAACTCGCAAGGGCAGGAATCGTGGACCTTTGAGCTACAAACCCATATTCTTGACTTGAAGTCCCAGCTTTTGAAGCACACACAATATCGATGGCAGGGAGCCCAGACGAGGGTAAGGCTATCCAAATTCTCCACAGAAGGAGGGATGAATTCCCATTTCTTTAGCCTTGCTAAAACACGTCTCAAAAGGACCACGATCAAGGCACTCTACGAACCGGAAGCCAGAGATTCGGCCCCGGCCGTGACCACGGCTCGTTGCACTAAGATAACATACGACTTTTATAAAGACCTCTTCTCCTCGCACGTGGATAAGTTAGACGTGTTATACCACGATCGTAAATTAAAAGAATTTTGGAACCAGTTAACAAAACACTGATGTCTGAACAACGTGAATGCTTAGAAGCTCCACTCTCCAAACAAGAGATATGGACCGCTCTCCTGCAAATAAAGGAGGAAAAGGCGTCTGGGGTTGATGGCTTCTCTAAGGAATTTTGGGAAACCATGTGGGACTTTCTAAGCCAAGACGTCATGGATTTCTACGAAGAAGTATGGCTCACAGGAGAGATGGGAGAAAGGGTGGGACAAGGGATACTGACCCTCCTATATAAAAAAGGAGATAAAATGGATATTAGAAATTACCGCCCTATCACCCTACTCACAGTAATTTACAAAATGTTGTTCAAAGCCTTGGCTAACAGAATGATCCCGGTAATGGAAGATATCATCCATCCTTCTCAAACTGGCTTCATGGAAAATAGAGATATACAAGAGAACATTCTGTTAATCCGCGAAGTACTCCAACTCACAAGACACTCCCCTCAAAACGCAGCCTTGGTGTTCATTGATTTCGAAAAGGCCTACGACCATGTGGACTGGCTGTTTTTTGACAGATGTCTGGAAAAAAATGAATTTTGGACCAGATTTCAGACGCTGTATACAAATCCTGCACCAAAATGTAACCACTTGCATCCAAGTCAACGGATGTCTGGCGCCACCCTTACGCCTGGAGCGGTCGGTCCGCCAGGGGGACCCCATCGCCCCCTTCCTTTTCTTGGTCATTATGGAGGCACTAGCTGCCAACCTTCGGGCAAATAAAAACCTCACCAGAAT